AAAAAAAAACAAGCTAAAAAAGCCCAATGACACTCTTCCCATGGAGCAGTGAACAGTGCCCAGCGTGGCTTGTTCCCACCCGCGAAAAAAAAATAATTACAAGCCACATATTGTATTAACAAGCCCTTTGGTGCCTTAATATATTAAAATTCTTCTCTGCCAAGGGGGATTCCTCTCCTCTGAGAAACCAGGTGAATGAAATGGAAAAAAAAAAAAAACAACACAACAAAACACAGGGAGGCTCCGCGTACACGAGGGATTTTTTTCAAAGATGTCAGTCCTCGAGAAAAATCAAATTAAGTAGCTCCATCTGCAAAGCATTAAGCCGGGCGACATTTCGCCCCGCTAAAAGCAAAGCCCCGTGGCAACCCAGATGTTCAGCCTGTTGCTAAAAGCCATTTCTCCTCCTGGCTGCAGAGCTGCCCTTGGCCAAGCACGACCTCCCCACGCAAACATCTGCCATAGGGTCCAACCATCCCTCGCTGCACGCCTGACCCATAGCTCTGGGGCAACAACACGTGGCAAATTCACAGAGTAATTTTTTTTTTTTTTTTAAAAAAAGGGGAAACTTTCCAGCCAAGGGAAATTAAACGTCCGAAGAGACTTTAAAAACGCCTGCTCGAGAAAAGCATCGGAAAGACCGAGCCACCCAAACTGCCCCAGCCACTTCCATCCTTTGCCAGGCTCTCCGCAGCCCCGGATCTGCGGATTCCTGCGACGCTTATTTGGAGTTACGTGGAGTTGCACAACTGGCAGGTTGTCAGTTTGGCTGTTGGGCGAGTGAAAAGAGCTGCCTCTTGAGCCCCAGGATTGTATTCTGTGATTCACGATTTGGTTTAGAGTAACACCGGGATGACCCAAGCGTTTGCTTTGACTAGTTTTTTTATTATTACTTAAGCTCAGAGGTTGGTTTTAAACACCCAGGATGCTCCCTGAGCTTTGAAAAGAAGGGAAATCACCGCAGGAGTTTCAGCATTAATTTTTTGCTCTCCCCTCCACCTGCCTCCCATCTCATCCCAAGCACAGAGCAGGGTAAAGTAGTA